CGCCAACAGGTACTACGCCGACATCGCCAAGATGCCGGCCATCAGCGACCAGGACATGAGCGCGTACCTGGCCGAACAGTCCCGGCTGCACCTGAGCCAGTTCAACAGCATGAGCGCCTTGCACGAGATCTACTCCTACATCACCAAGTACAAGGACGAGGTGAGTCGCGCCACGGCGGGGAGCTGCGGGCGTCGGTGGGGACGGTCGCCGGCCCTCGCCAAAGCTGCCTGCCCTGCTGGTCCTCCTGGCGCCTGCAGGCTGCTGGGCGCCTGCCTTCACGCCTCTGTTCTCTGGGACCGGGAGGGTGTCTCCAAAGCTGGGCACAGACCACTGAGGCAGGGCGCCGGGGTGGGGGCCGAGGCAGAGAGGACAGACTCACTGAGTTCCCTGGACGTGGGGTTCCCGGGCTCTTCTGGGTTTGGGGACAGTGGAGACGGGAGCTCAGGAGAGCTCTGAGTTCGAGGCCGAGCGCGGAGACCGTCCGCGATGCAGAGGGGCCTTCAGGCGGAGGCTGGGGAGATGGCGGGAGGCAGTGGGCAGCACGGGGGGCCGGCCCACCCCCGGGGCCACGGACGGGGAGGCAGGCGACCTCAGTGGCAGCACTGACGCCGTGCCGGAGCGGGCGGTGGGGACAAATGCCCGACGTCCTGGGGCTCACACCGGACAGGGAGGGGAGCGGAGGCTCTCCGGGGAGGCCGGGGCCGTGGCGGGTGATCAGGAGGCCACCGTCGTTGGGGACAAGAGCAGGAGTGATGACAGGGGCCGTCCTCCACGTGGCTCTCCCGGGGGTCCGGTTGCGCACCGAGGTCCCGAGGCTTTGCGCGTGTCCCCGAGCGCCCGCGGCGGCCCCGCGGTGACGGGCGCGGCGTTGTCCCCCAGATCCTGGCAGCCCTGGAGAAGGACGACCAGGCGCGGCGGCAGCGGCTTCGGGGCAAGCTGGAGCAGGTGGTGGACACCATGGCCCTGAGCGGCTGAGCCCGGCCGGGCCTCCCAGCGGGAGGTGGCTCGGGAAGGCGCCGAGCGCGACCCCGGCGGCCCTCGGCCTCCCTCGTCCCGTCCCGCCAGGGCTTTCGCGGGCGTGGAGGTGACGTCACCGGCTGAACCACCGCCGCCACCGTGCCCGGAGCCAGAAGCCTTCACCACGGGACAGGGGACGGCCGGGCCCTCCAGAGGGAGGGGACAGCCAGCCTGGGCCGCGCCCGCGAGGCTGGGACGCGGCGGGGGGGACGCGGGCTCCGTCCTGGCTTCCCCGGCGGCGGAGTCTGAGGGTCCGGGAGGCCACCTGGAGGCCGGCGGGAGGGCGGGCGTCGGCCGCCACCACCGCCGTCCTGAGATTCACCGCGTGCTCCGCGCGGCCGAGGCCGGGACGCCACGTCCACCCGGCCCCGGAGAGGCCCTCCCGTGGCGGGGGCCACTCGCGGCCCCCGGGGGACCTCCGGGCGGACTGGACTCCCCCCCTCTGTCCTCAGGGCCGCGTCTCTGGGGCCGCAGAGCGCACGACCCCCGTTGTTGTTATTTATTCCCCTGCGTGTCCCGCCCACGCTGTCCCCGTCCCTGCAGCCTCCAGGCCGAAGTCTTGGCCGTTTCCGGCCCCTCCAGAGCGGTGTGACCGCCGGGGACCGTTTTTTAAGGGGAAGAGAACCCAGCCGCGTGCTCTCGGCTCGGGCCACCGGGACGGGGCCGGGGCCCCTCCCGCCACCTCGCCGGCCTGGCTCCGTCCCCGGCCCGCAAGCAGCAGGCGGTGACCCAGAGGGTCCCAGGGAGGCCGGCCGTGGCCACCCTCGCCCCCGGAGAGCACGAGAGAACACGTTTTTAAAAAAGGAGCCTGTACATACGTGTATATACGCACACGCGGCCCCGGTGGGGCCCCGTCCAGCCGCCCGACGGAGGGGACGTTTTTTAACGACAATTCGGAATAAGGCGATTCCGGCAGCCGGGAAGCGACAGCCAAACGACGGCGTCCGGAGCTCCGCGGTCTGCTCTGGTTTTTCGTCCGACGTGGAGAGGAAGGAGCTTCCCGCCAACCCCCCGCCGACCCCCCCGTCGCCCGCCGCGAGCTTCCAGGGGACGCGGGGACCGTGCATGACCGTGCTAGCGTGTAGTATGAGTTGATCTTTTTTAAAACTGCAAGCGTCCAATCCTAGAGATTGTCAGATCCCCCTTTTGTTTTTTTTGATGTTTTTAAATTAATCGGTCCCTTGTCAAAAAGCCAACGGGAGGCCCCCTTTTCGAAGGGCACCTTTTTGACGGTACTCGAGGCCCTCACAGACGTTCACGGACAGCTAAGTGTGGCCAGACCCTCCCCCCCGCTCCCCGCCACCCCGGGACGAGCACTCGGTCCCCACGGGGCTGCCAGTCCCGGGGTCCCTCCATCCTGAGCAGCGTACGGGGGGACGGGTGTGACATCATCGAACCGCTGACTCAGGGAGCCCCTGGGGGACGGTGGCCTCACTCCCAGGCAGGGCCCAGACCGGTGAGTCCAGAGCCCGGGCCTGGGGCTCTGCCTCCCTCCCGATGCCGCCTGGGTGGGAGCCTCAGTTTCCCCTCTGAAGTCTTCCCTGGACGGTGGCTTCGGCACGAAAGCCCTGGTTCTTCCGGTTCTGCGCGGACCGGGTGGCCCCTGCCTGCGCCTCCTTCGACACGATCGAACCCGCGCCCTCCCCTAGGCCTCCGCCCCGGCCGCGTCGCCCCGTCTTGTCTGCGTAGACGGGCGGCAGAGACCGCGGAGGGTCACGGAGGGGGATGGCGCGTGGCCCAGCCGCAAGCACTTTAGCAGTTCTTGTTTACATGGACGCCGATCAACCGGACTCTGACCGCGCCGTCCTCGCAGGACGGCGGGTCTCGGAGCGTGTCCGCTGGGCCCGCGCCTTCCCGCGGGACGAGGCTTCGGCTTCCTCGCGTCCCTCCCGGCTGCGCGGCGCCTGCCATCTCCTCCTGCTCCCTGCCGGGGGCTCCGACCCTGAGCTCTGGCGCTGACCGGGGAGCATGGGGAGGGGGCCTGGTAGGAGCCGGGATCGGGGTGCACCCTGCACCCGGGCTGCAGCGTGGGGTGCTGCTATAGCGACACCCCGGCCCGGCCACCGCTGCTGTCGCCACCTGCTTCTCGCGGACCTTTCCGGCAACGCCCCGTCCCACGTGGTGTCAGGAGCGCCCGGGACAGCTCACCGGGAGCCTGGCCTCTTGATATACCTCGAGTCTCCCCCGCACCCCCCGGCCCAGGACCGCCTGCCCCCCGGACCTGCCGGCTCCCGTCGTTGGTGCTACACGAGCTAGATTAGATGTATTTAGACAGAGAGAAAGATATTTTTAAGACGCAGCCCACAATTAGCTGTCCTGTAACGCCCCA